CAAATGATTTGAATCTGGAACCTGATAGCTGAACATGGACGAGCTGAAAATTATAGCATTACCTTATTAGTGATTTTATTCGTTGATCTCTTTCACGGATCTGAAACAGGTGCTCCGGTCTCCAGTGTTGCGACTTAAGTTTAAATTAACGAAAAATACATGCCTTCTGTTTGTGTGTTGAATGCTATTTTGTTATCTGTAAAATAAAATGAGAAAGCTTTGGTATGAGTTAGCCATTATAATCAGGGGGTTATTTGCATTCTTTTGGACTTGGAGAAAGTAGAGATTAAAGTAGCTGAGAAACAGAATTTGCATAACAGAAGCTAAAAATTGAATCAGTTTTCGTAGTCTTTACTCTTTAGTCAATTAGTTGTAAAGGTTCTTTGATTGATGTAAAATTCAAAGCACAAGGAGGGCTGGAAATCTAACTCACCATTCTCATTGCTTTTAGATTCTGATTAGATTATGCATAATCTGAAGTTATCTATTGAGAACACTAAAATTAAAGCCAAAAGCCAAAAGTTGCCAGTCTATATTTTCAAGTGTTTGAAAACACTTCCAACCTTTTTAATTTTCCATGACTTTGGTTTGCGTGCATTGCTATCAGAACGAAAATTATCTGGTAAGTTGTTCTTGTTATGCAAGCATGCTGAGCTGTTGTTGATGTTGTTAGTTATCGTTTCGTCTTCCTCATGTCGGATCCTGAGAATCTAATGCTAAGTTAGGATATTGATTTTTTGGGGAGAAAATGAATAATATAAAAACTAAAGCACAAATACCACCATTTTGGACATGTGTAAAAGAGAACCATCCATGTTTCTTCGTGTAAGTGGAAGGGGTTTATTAGGCTTGGTTATAAACTGTAACCTAAGGATCTTGTGTGCATTGTAATGTCCTATCTTCTAATTTATGCTAGCGTGAGAAGTTCTTTTATAGTTGTAGCTGCTATATACATAAGTGGTATATCTACACTGATGTACTTTATACTTTATCTTAAGCACCCATCTACGACCTATATGCATCTTATAACAACTTTTTATCTGGTGGTTGTCATCCACTGTTTCTTGTGGTTGTTTGCATGTATAAGAAAATTGCTTCATGCATCACAGTAGAATTGGACTTTTGCCACCTTCTAATCAATCTTTTAATAATAAGAAAATCATGGTAAAAGTAGCTTCAGATTCTGAGGAGATTATACATATTTCTGAAGTTGTCAATTGAAAACACTAATATTACTTAAAGCCAAAAGCCAAAAGCCAAAAGTTGCCAATCTATATTTTGAAGTGTCTGCAAACACTTGCATAGTGTGTTTTTTAGTTTGTTTTGTATTTCTCCGTGACTTTGGTTCGCGTACATTGCTATCAGAACAGAATTTCTCAGTTAATTTGTTCTGGTTTTGCTAGCATTCCGAGCTCCTCTATGATCTTGTTAGTTATTGTTTTCGTGTTTGATCCTGAGAATCTAATGCTTTGTTTGGACCCTGAATTATTTTCGGAGGAAAATGAATAATATAAAAGCTAAAGCACAAAGTCCCTCCACTTTAGACATGTATTAAAAAGAACCGTCCGGTTTTCTCATGTAAGTGGATGATGTTTATTAGACTTGGGTAACAGTAACCAATCGATCTTTCATACATTGTAATGTCTCATCTTCTAATCTATGCTAGTGTGGGAAGTTCTTAATTGTAGCTACTATATTTATATAGATGGTATATCTAAACTGATGTGAGCAACTTTTATTCTTATATTTAAGCACCCATCTATGATTCATATGTATCTCATAATAACTTCGTATCTGGTTGTTATCCACAGTTTCTGGTGTGTGTTTGCATGTATAGGAAAATTTTATCATGCATCACAGAAGAATTGGACTTTTGCCACCTCCTGTTCAATCATTTAATAATAAGAAACCATGGTGAAAGTATCTTCAGATACTTTTTCTTTTTTAAAAATTCTTTTTTGGCTGGAGATTGTGAGGGATGCTAGTATGCTGACCCTGCTTAGACGTTGCACAATCATTTTGAGCCTTCTTGTTTCATCGCATAATTACATAATAAGGCCCTCCTTGTAGTGTCATGCATGTGCTTGACCAAATCTTTTTGTTATGCTCTGGTATTACTCAGGGAGAATTCCTTTTGCATTTCTTGAAGAAATTCATCAAAGATTTGTCAGAACCTATGGCCGAGCTGTATTGTCTGCTCAAGCATATGGGATGAATGATGAATTTTCTAGGGTCCTCAGCCAGCAGATGGAGTATTTCTCAAATGATCCAAATGCTGACCGTATAAACCGACTCAGAGGTGAAATGAGCCAGGTGATTAATGATTTGAAAGAAAAAAAAAAAATAAAACGATTTACTTCTTTTCTTGTTGAGACACTTTACGTTTCTGCTGTCCAAGGCTTAGGTGGATTGTTTCAGAATGTCATTGTGTTTGGTGTTTGATATAGGTTTCGCTAAATTGTGAAATGCATTAGCTAGTCATAGTCTATTGTGTGTATAAAGATAAAGGAGTTATAGACTAGTGTTCTTTCATCATTGTGTTTGGTGTTTGATATAGGTTTCCCTAAATGGTGAAATGCATTAGCTAGTCATAGTCTATTGTGTATAAAGATAAAGGAGTTACAGACTAGTGTTCTTTCAGCATCTAATTTTCTGCCATTTTAGAGCATCTCTATCAATAATCCTCTATAAACCTCCTTTTGCACTTCTCAACATGCCACATCACCCAAAACCCATTCTTACTCCTACACCCATAAACCTCCAATAACAATAAACTCCATAAACCTTCTTTTCATGGGTACCACATGTTTCCCACATACTTTTAATTGATATTATACCCTTATAGTTTTTCAAAATACATATAAAATAATATAATTATATTTTTTTCCCACTTTCTTTTAATTAATATTTCCCATATATTTATCATAAATATATATGAAAAAGATATAATTATATATAATTATATTGCATTATTTATAATTATAGAGTGTTAATTAAGTGCCAATGTTAACGAGCTTTTTTTGAAGTAGAACAAATGCCAACCCTGAACAAAGTAGAAGTAGTACATTATCTGATAATAAAACTGATATTATTTTCATAACCGAAAAAAATTTGAATTGTTTTACTATGCTTTCATGCCGGAAACTTGGGCAAATTATTTTAATATGTTATACTGTTTATTATTTATTTAATTTAAATATTTCTTGTTTAGTATGAAAAAACATATAAAATAATATAATTAAAAATTAACTACATTATATTTTACTTCGATATTCAGTTTATATTCTATATATTGAATATCATTATATACATATATTCATTAAAATTTTATCAAAATATAATAAAAATATAATATGAATAAAAAAAATGTAAAATAACAACAAACCTCACTTATACAATATTATATTGAGGTTTAAGTGGGTTTGAGTTTGTAAACCAGGTTTGTGTTTGTAAACCCACTTTTATAATAGCAAAACCTATAAAGTGAGGTTTATAAACCTCACCAAACCTGTTAAAGATGCCCTTAGTGAAATGGCTGTAATATCATCCTTTTTTCTTGCCTACTTACCTTGGCCTCTGTGTGCTGCTGGTGTACTACCGTAACATGATAAATATAGTAACTTTCTGGGTGTTATTGGTTACAGGTCCGAAATGTCATGATTGAGAATATTGATAAAGTTTTGGAAAGAGGTGATCGGCTTGAACTGTTGGTCGATAAGACAGCAAATATGCAAGGAAACACTTTGCGTTTCAGAAAGCAGGCTCGACGCTTTAGAAACACTGTATGGTGGAGAAATGTCAAGCTGACGTAAGTTTGTTGAACTCAAATGCGTCTCAATTTTTAAGCTATAAATGGTTGAGGATGGGAAAGTTTATTTCTGATTAGTTCATATAATATTTTCCTAGAAAAATAATAAAATGATGGAACATAAGCAATATTTTGGTTAAATTTACCAAGCTCCTTCTTATATGGACTGTGACTGAGCTCAACCTTTTTCCTCCTTTGTCTGTGGATATGCTCATTAAAATGCTTGAAAGATATTCTTGTTCTCAGGAAGTTTACATAGAGGATTACTCTTAAGTCGCATTCAGAATGTTTATTCATATTCTAAACAATTAATGCATTCTTTTTTCTTTTGTTTGGCAGGGTTGCATTAATATTCCTTCTTCTGGTAATAATTTATGTTGTTTTCGCTTTTGTCTGCCATGGGCCTTTACTCCCATCATGTCTAAAGTGAGGGTCTGATCGAGCGAAATATGTTTGCCATTTCTTGGGTTATTTTTTGGGTGTTGAGTACACTTTGCGTTTATCTACTTCACATCTCCCTTAGAGATGTACGACGAACTTTTCCGGTTGTGTTTGGCGGTATCCTCTTCTCTGAAAAGCTGAGGTGTCCGTGATTCCCCTTGTCGAAGATTTTTATTTTTATTTTTTTTCCTGTGTGAAGCTCTGCCTACATATTAATGATTTCCCAAAAAGGTAGAATGCGAGAACTAAAATTGTATGATTTATCATTTGTCGATATTTGTTTGTGTAATTTAATTATATGCTTTTCAGGACCGGTTTGCTTTCTTTCATTCTTTGCTACAATGTTGTTATATTCCCAGAATCATCTTGTATTTGAGTGCTCATTTTGGGATTTTTTTTTTCTTCTACTTTTGTTAGTCTTTAAGTCTGTAAAATTGTTACCAGTAACACCATCTACAGACATGAAAAGAAAAGAAAAACAGTGCATGGAATACATGTGTACCGTAGCTATGTCTGGTAATCAAATAAGTTAACTTATAACTTATTTGTTAGCTTATAAAGTTTTCTGTATTCAAATAAGTTTCGTTTGGTAGAACGAGTTTTATTAATAAGTCGAGCATATCTCATAAGCTTCTTTGAGTAGTTTTTCAAATAAATTTGTTCGAAATTTTTATTTCAACTAGCTTATCAATTATTTTACTAAATACTTTTATCATATAAGCTACCTTTCAGCTATAAGCCATAAGATATATAAGTAGTAAGCTTGAAAATTGCATATAAGTTGTAAGTTAGCTTATCAGCTAGTTTTACCAAACATAGCTATAAATTACACAATAATCGCGTTGATCAGAAGAATTACAGTTGTTGAGTTTTTTTTATGCGTGTCATCCATGCGTGGGCCATGTTAATCTTCTCTGTATCGTTCAAGATTTTATCGGGTGTCCTTGAAGGGACTTACATTTGTTGAGTTTATGTCCACTCATTGTCCTCTCAAAAATCCCGATTTCAACCACACTAGACCCGGGCTGCATTATATGTCCATTGTCCTCTTGCATTTGGAAGATCCCTCAGATGCATTGTCTATAAGTTACTCTCACTTTTGTCTTGCTGGTTTTTTTTAACTATAAATGGATATTATTATTTTTTAAAAAATCTATTCATCTAATATTCTTTTGCTTTTCTCATCAATTTTATCAGAACAATTAAAAAGTCAAAATCGAACATTACTATACATAATTCAACAAATGAACATTATTCATCAGTCAGCATATTTTTCGTCAAAAAAAAAATAAAATAAAAAATAAAAAATAAAAAATAAAAATCATGATTTTACAGTTTTATTTCTCGTGAATAAAAGTTTTAAAAGAATCGATTTTACAGTTTTATTTTTCGTGAATAAAATACTTTTTTAAATAGTTGAGTTTAAGTTAAGTTGGTTAGAATAACAAGTTGACAATTATACTTTTATCAGTAAGGCTAAGGCTACAATTAGATATATGTAACGGTTAAACAATCATGCTTTTTTAAATAGTTGACATGCTTTCGACCTGACATGTCATATATTAAACAACAATATAAATAAAAGTATGACATTTTCATTGCATAAATGTGCATTTTTGTGAATTTGTGAAAAAAATAAGCATGTGGGTCGACTCGATAGCAATTAGGATGTCCCATCCAAAATTTTTTGATAATTTACGAAATGAAACACTTTGTAAAATTAACTTTACTCCGGGTAAATTTTGAATCTCAACTCCGCCCTCAGAGTTTTGACAGCAACCGATGTGTCATGACAAAAAAATAATTTACCACACATTAACATTTAGTGGAAAAGTAGTCACGTGTTGTTACATTACATTTACATAATGGCCCACCCTGCATGTGCGGATTGAAGGGTCCATTTTTTTCCACAATATTCTCGTGTATCACTTGGTTTACATTCATGGGTATACGTACCTATTTACCCTTAATAAATAATAGTAAATTATTCATTAAGGGTAAATGGGTATATGTACCCAAGATAAATCAAGTGGTACACCAAGGGGTACATGTAGCATGATCCATTCTATTATTATTCTTAGATTTGCATATGCACAAAGCTGAGGTGATCGTTCCATCCCAACACCAATTAGTAGTATGAGTAGCCCACTGGACAAATAAATTAAGTCTATTTTTCGATGTGAGACAACTCACAATTAATATTATATTTTAATAGCAGAAATGCTGCCCCAAACTGTATGTCAATGAGATTATCAGTATCAAGAAAAATGTCTTTTTCCTATTAACGAATAGTGTTTGACCTAAAAAAGACTACAAAATATCTGTAATTTTGTACTGCTTTTTTTCGGTAGCCAACCACGGTATTCAGAGCATTGCCCTGACTAATTTGTTAGTCGACCGAGATCGCACACCTGACAATGGTGGGTGAGTCTTCCAACAAGTGTTTTATGCATTCGCAAGGACTCGAACCCCAGATCTTGTTAAGCAACATCAAACTACTTTTCACTACTTTTCACTTGAGTCAACTCTTATTCGTATTGCCTTAAACATAATAATAATAATCTCCATTGAAATATTATAATAATTTATCAATGAACAAATTCCATGCATCTCTCTTACATATGCTATATTATATGCCTGTGGGCTTTGTGGTGAAGATTGAGTTATTAATTTGCATCAATAATTGATGCCCTACACTACATATGTAATATATATATCTTTATCTCCATTTTTACAATACAGTATCCCGAATAGACGAAGCACATGACACTCAACGTTAAAGCAAATTGTCCATTTTCACTCACATCAGCAAACTCCAACAGCTCACAAGCTGTCTGTATTATATATATATATATATACGTACCCATTCCCTGCACACCATGCAAAGCTACAACAACATATATACAAGCATTAAACACCACTACTATATAACTCGTGATTCGTAGTCCAAGACTTCCCATTGATTAAGGGCCGGGCCCGATATCGTGTCTATATATATATTATTCAGGCATATCATCAACTCCAACTCGTGACGACCTCTTAGCTAGCAACGTTCGTGTGTATATACGTATACGGGCCCGTATTTGTACATATAGAAAACTCAAACAAACAAACAAACAAACAAACAAAAAATCCCCCACAAGCTTACAAAATTCCAACTTGGCACTCTCCTTCTCTTCCACTCAAACCCACCCTCAAACACCAACCTCACAATATTCCCTCTTTATAACAAAGGGGGCACAACACAAAACCCATTTAACAAAGCCCAATATCATCGCTCTAACTTAGCAATGGCCGCCGGCAAACTCCTCATCTTCTCCCTTCTCCTCCTTGCCGCCTTTGCAAATGCGTGTGGGACGTGTGGGCCCAAGACCACACCGACAAAAGGCCTGCCCGCGAACCCTTTCTGCCCTCGGGACACGTTGAAGCTCGGCATTTGCGCGGACCTTTTGGGTTTGGTTAGCTTGAAGATCGGGAGCCCGCCCTCGGGAGACAAGTGCTGTGCCCTGCTGGAAGGGCTGGCGGACTTGGAGGTGGCGGCCTGTCTGTGCACGGCCATCAAGGCCAATGTGCTCGGGATCAACTTGAATGTGCCGGTTGCGCTCAGTGCGCTCGTGAGCGCGTGCAGCAAGACTATCCCGACCGGGTTCAAATGCGGATAAGACGATGAATGAATGGATGGTGATTTAATTTGTGTGTGATAAGTGTGTTGTGTGTGTTGGGTTAAAGACAAAGTGGTGTGCAAGTGTGTGTATGTTGTGTGGTGGTGATGATTGATGATTTCTTTAGGGTTTTCATTGTGTTTTTTTTAGTTAAGTTGGGTTTGAGTTCTGTTCATTTGTGAGGTTGGTGGCAAATAAGTGGGCAAGACTGTTTGCCTTAATTTGTGGCAAATTAGTGATTTATCAATTAATTTGTCTTTTTTTTTAATGAGTGTTTGTTTGATCAGCAAGGAAAAAAATATCATTCCATTGATTGTTTTTGCACAAGGGATAAGAACATCTCATTGGGCCATTTTGAGATGTGTATAAGCATAAAGAAACAAAATTAAGAAATTATGTCTGCAATGGTTAATATTAATTATTTTTGTGGCATAATTTTAACATATGTGATATATAATATTAATTGTTTAAAAGTACTTGTTCATTAATTCAGATCTAGGTATTATATGGATTTTTTTGTGTCATGTGGCAATGAAATAAAACTTAGAACAAAATTAAAAAAAAAAAA